TTCTTTGTGAAGAGCTATTCTGACTAGACTGACAGGTAGTGATAGTTGAAGGTGAAGCTGATGTTGTAGTGGTGGAAGGATTTTGAGATAAATCTGAAGTAAAAATGTTGAAGTCAAAGAAAATAAGGATTATGAAAAGAATCGTAACAAGAAGATGGATCCATATTAGCCATGGATTTTGTAGCTTACCATTACCAACTCATCAACAAAGCCAAGCATGGCTTCTCTTTTTTCCCCTCCCTCTCTATCTATATTAAGGAAAAAGAGCAAAAGAATTTGAGGATGATTCGTGTAATATGCTTTTTGGTGCGGATGATGCTGCACTTGGGGAAGAAGGAATTCACTTCCGTGTGACAAAGTTTTCGTTATTTTTTTATTTTTTAAACACGAGCATTCTCTTAAATGAGATATTTTCAGACGAACAAAGTTTACCATTTTGTTGTCACAACAAAATTTTGGTTAGTATTCTAGTGGATTATGACCAAAACAAATATTAGAATTCATTGAATTTGAAAAAGTTGATTATGTCGATCGATTCAATGTTGGAGGAGCCATTGTTAAAAATCGTGAGACAGTTGGGTTTGATCATCATCATCATCCATAAAGTTCTATAAAGTCTCACAAGTGCATATGAGCATGTAGTGGAGGCAATTGAAAGATCTAAAGATTTGTGAGTGATGTCACAGATGACATGATTCTTTATAAGCTCATGACAAAACGAGGAAGAGATGGTGAGGTAAACTAGTGGCACAAACATAATTTTCTAGCAGAATTTACAATCAAATAGTGATATTCAACAATAAAATACCGATTTTAACCACATTTTAATCAAATAGCAGTTGGAATGAATTGAATCTTAACCATCCATTAAGCTCTACGTATTTTTTTAAGCTTATAGCCGAATCTCCAAGGAAAAGAATTGGATACATCACTTCGAAAGAAACACGGAGTCATTACAAGGAAGAAGATAGATGAGAAAGACGAAAATGTATAAAAGTGAAATAAACCAATGA